AATCTCTGTCATTTACACATTTTTACCTTTTTTCTTAAGCCCTTGGAGTGGGATCTTTTTGGTGACTGTGTGTGTGTGTGTGTGTATATATCAGGGATATAATAGCCCATTTATTATCAGAATTATACATAGTTTTGTTTACTTTTACAAAACAAAATTTAGTCCATAAAACCTCACTTACTTCTATGTGTACTCAAGCAATAACTACCAAATTTTAGAGGAATGACTCTAAGTAAGACGTCCATTCTACCAATTAGTATGCTAATGTCCTGAAAATGACATCTTCTCCTTCCAAACAGTAAAGAAGCTTTAAAGATGATATTGATATAGATCCAATGTGATCTATATATATTGTGAAAAATTATTTCACAATACCATTAATATAGTCAGAGACAAGAGAGGAGTGAATAAATTATATCATACAGCTTGGAGCCTGTGTAAAATATTGCAAGGTGAGAGATACTGTATTCCGTCTCAAGCTTTTCATATTACCAGTGTTTCTATATAAAGAGACATTTTTTTTTCAAGTGTCAGTTTACATAAGTAAGATTTTTGTTTTGTCTGATCAGCAATCTATAGACAAAACTGCTGTTTTATCACATGTTTATATTCTAGCTAGGCATTCCACTAGCTAACAGACATACACACTCACTGACAGACACACATACACAGTCACTAACAGACACACACTCACTAACAGAAAAGCTTACACTCTCACAAACAGACATGCACACACTCACTAACAGACACACATGCTAACACACTTACTAACAGACACACACACACACACTAACACACTCACACACTAACACACTCACTAACAGACACACACATACTAACACAATCACTAACACACAAACACATAGTAACACACTCACTAACAAACACACACACACTAACAGACATACACAGTCTCAATAACAGACACACACAGTTACTAACAGACACACACTCACTAACAGAAACTCATACACATTCACTAACAGACATGCATACACACTAAAAGACACACACACTAAAACACGCCCTAACATACAGACAGACACACACACACACACTAACAGACACACACATAGTAACACACTCACTAACAGACACACACACACAACCATACTCACATTTAAAAAAAAAAAATTTAATTCAGTCCCCCCTGCCTCCCTCCCTTTGGGAGAGCTGGGGTGGATTCTCGTTTTCCCTGAGGTCCAGTGAGGCTGTTGGGCGGCCGGCCAGTCACTGCAGTCAGTGGGGGAACACTGATCCTCCTGTTCAGCATCCTCACGTGCTGTGAAGACTCCAGCATCACTGCGGTGTGCGAGAGGGAGCTGAACAGGGGGATCAGTGCTCCCTTGCCACCCGCCCAGAAAGTGCCGCTGCTGCCAGCCTTTGGAGGCATCCCAAGACAAGAGGCTGGCAAGGCATTTGCCAGTGCCGCCCAAGGCAAATGCCTTGTCAGCCTCGTAAATACACCCCTGGGCAGGGCCGGACTGGGAGAAAAATTCGGCCCGGGCATTTTTTTAACACAGCGGCCCACTAAAAAGGGAGCGGGGCAGAGGAGGTGTGTTTTGTCATCACCAATGACAAACACGCCTCCTCTCAAAGTGCTCTTCTAGGGCAGACCATGCGCAGAGCTCTGCTGAAGAGCTCTAGCATGAGAAAAAAGTCCTGTATTTGTTCTGCACAGTGCAAGCAAATTTAATAACATGCTTGCACTGTGTTTCCTTGCAACTTGTCTCTGGTGTCTATAAATGGATACCAGGAGACAAAAGGCCAGGAAAGAGTATTGTGCATGTGTTTGGAGCCTGCTTGTGGTATTGCGTGTGTGTAGAGTGAGCTGGTCGTGGTGGTCGGTTTTAGTCATGTTGTGTTTGTGGTGTAATGTGATGCATATGTGGCTATGGGCTGTAGAGAATGTGTGTATTGGGGATATAGCAAGTGTGTGCATACAGGCTATAGTGTGTGTGTGTGTGTTTAGGGGTGTAGTATGTGTTTGCTTACAAGGAATCTAGTGTGTGTATAGAGGATCCAGAGTGTGTATGTTAAAGGACCACTATAGTGCCAGGAAAACATACTCATTTTCCTGGCACTATAGTGCCCTGAGGGTGCCCCCACCCTCAGGGACCCCTTCCCGCCCGGCTCTGGAAAGGGGTTAAAACTTACCTTTTTCCAGCGCCGGGCGGGGAGCTCTCCTCCTCCGATCCGCCCCGTCGGCTGAATGCGCACGCGCGGCAAGAGCTGCGCGCGCTTTCAGCCGGTCGCATAGGAAAGCATTTATAATGGCTTTGGGGGAAGGCTTAACCCATTGATAACTGCTATGTTTATAAAACAATAGGTTAACCCTAGAAGGACCTGGCACCAAGACCACTTCATTAAGCTGAAGTGGTCTGGGTGGCTAGAGTGGTCCTTTAAGAGTGTAGTGTGTGTGTGTGTATATATATATATATATATTTGGAAGTATTGTGTATGTGTGTGGTGCAGTGTGTTGGGGGGGGTTCTGTGTGTATGTGAGGGGAGCAGTATGTGTGTGAGTGATGGGTGTGAGAGTGCCGTGTGTGAGTGATGGGTGTGAGAGTGCTGTGTGTGAGTGATGGATGTGAGAATGCTGTGTGAGAGTGCTGTGTGAGATGGGTGTGTGAGATGGGTGTGAAAGTGCTGTGTGAGAGAGTGCTGTGTGTGTGAGTGCTCTGTGAGAGTGCTGTGAGTGTGATGGGTGTGAGAGTGCTGTGTGAGAGAGTGCTGTGTGTGATGGGTGTGAGAGTGCTGTGTGAGAGAGTGCTGTGTGTGTGTGAGAGTGCTCTGTGAGAGTGCTGTGAGTGTGATGGGTGTGAGAGTGCTGTGTGTGATGGGTGGAGAGTGCTGTGTGTGAGAGTTCTGTGTGTGATGGGGTGGAGAGTGCTGTGTGTGAGAGTGCTGTGTGTGATGGGTGTGAGGAGGATGTGTGTGATGGTGTGAGAGTGCTGTGTGTGAGAGTGCTGTGTGTGATGGGTGTGAGAGTGCTGTGTGAGGAGTGCTGTGTGTGATGGGTGTGAGAGTGCTGTGTGTGATGGGTGTGGAGAGTGCTGTGTGAGAGTGCTGTGGTGTGATGGGTGTGAGAGTGCTAAAAGGCGGATGGGTGGAGAGAGGAGTGCTGTGTGTGAGAGCAAGGTGTGTGATGGGGTGGAGAGTGCTGTGTGTGAGAGTGCTGTGTGATGGGTGAGATGCTGTGTGTGATGGGTGTGAGAGTGCTGTGCGGTGAGAGTGCTGTGTGTGATGGGTGAGGAGTGCTGTGTGTGATGGGTGTGATGAGTGCTGTGTGTGATGGGTGTGAGAGTGCTGTGTGTGATGGGTGTGAGAGTGCTGTGTGTGATGGGTGTGAGAGTGCTATGTGAGAGAGTGCTGTGTGTGATGGGTGTGAGAGTGCTGTGTGTGATGGGTGTGAGAGTGCTGTGTGTGATGGGTGTGAGAGTGCTGTATAAATGTTATTGTGTGTGTGTAGGGGGGGGTAAATAAAAAAAAAAAAAACAGTCATTATGTCCCCCCCCCCCTCCCTTCTTACCTTTAGCCTGGGAGGGGGGGACCGGCACGCTGAGACTGGGAGGCGGGGAGGCAGTGTTCCCTGGTGGTCCTCGTGGGTGAGTGAACTCTAGCCTATGAGGCTAGAGTTCACTCTCACGAGATCCGGTCGTTGCCATGGCAACGCGCCGGATCTCACGAGAGGAACCCGGCGGAGCTGCAAGTTAGAGCTCCGCCGGGTCCTCTCTCCAGCCTGGCTGGCTGTCTCCCTCTCTCCCCGCCGGCGGCAGCATGTGGGCCGGTGAGGGAGATCTTTGATCTCCCCACCGGCCCTCCATGGAAGACAGCGGGGCCGGCGCTCGGATAGTGCCGGCCCTGCAAAAACCGGCAGGGGAGATCCTGGGACCTCCCTGCCGGCCTTGGCCCATGGTCACCGCGGCCCACCGGGCATTTGCCCGGTGTGCCCGATGGCCAGTCCGGGCCTGCCCCTGGGTCTAACAACATACCCAAGTATTTGAAAGATTGGACTCCAGTCAGTGTGGTATTTGATTTTGTTTTGATGGATAGATGGTGTGGTGACATTCTGTCATCAAACTAATATGGTGACCAGGGGTCATGTGACCAAGCTCATGTTTGCTTTTCTTACAGTGGG